AACGTGCTCTTTTTTGCTGCTGCCCCCTGAATGCGAGGGCTCTTCTGGCTCGTTAGAGCTGCTGTCACGGACCTTTGATGGCATGCCTAGCGAAGGTATGCAAGAGCTAGAAGTTGCACTGTTGCGTTTCAGGTCCTTATCAAATGTCTGTCACTTCAAGGATGCGAGGAATGTTATGTGAGAAAGATTGAGTAGGATTGCAGAAGGAGGGTTATGAAAACGGGCATCCATCTTGCAGCATTGCCAGGGCAGTTCCATGTGGCCCCCAGCTGCAGACCATCCCGGGATTCCTTTTGGTGTAACATCCCGTGCTGGGGACACCCGTAATGCAACTTTCTCTGTGTTTTTTGTCTCATGACCTCATTCCCTGTTCCTGTGAGCGAAGGTAAGAGAGCTGGGACTGCACGTGGCAGCCTGGGATCTGGAAAGACAAAGCTTCAACACCTGGCTCTGTGCGTCCTTGCCACCTGAGCTGAATAATGATAGCTGGGTGTCTAGGGGCCATGAAGAGTCAGTATTACCAATAGTAGCTTTTCCTTTTTATTCAGGGATTCTGTCAAATGCATTACGGCCCTTTCCACGATGACTTGGTATTAATGAAAGTATTAATTAAAAACTGACCAGCTAACCAGTTCAATATTTTTGCTGACTGACTTTTTGCTTTCCTGTGGAGAAGTGAAAAGTGTGTATTGCAGAAGTTGGGGTCTTTTGAATAATGGAGTATACCAAGTCTTGGTCACAGCTGCCTTGCTCTTGTCACCACTACCCCCAGTTTGGGCTACATTTTTCTGTTTTCTCAGCTAACATGCTCCTACTGTAAACTCTACACAAATACAGACAAGATAAAACTTAGCTTTTGTATTTTATTAAGTTTTATTGCAGGCGTTTTCTGTGTGGATTTCTGATGTGTACATACTTTCTTGCATTAATTTTGGGAACTTTCTAGAGAACAGTTTTTAGAGGCTTTTTTTATATTCCCCATGTTAATTCCCTGGCTCAGGTCAGGTTGAACAGATTTCTTGGATACCTGTGTTGGCTTAGCTTATCCTGTCTTGATAGGCAAGTGATCACAGAGTTAAATGAGCTATAGGAACCCAGCTGGTTACATTTTAAAAGAAGAGAGAATAAATCTATTGTGTTAGATTCCCCTCTTGCGAGGACGTTTTCATAATCTTACAGAGTTTTTCGTTCTCTGTAGGCCAGGAATGATCGAGATACTGCTGAGTTGCCCACTTGTAACCTAGCTGTCAGACAATTTGTAAAGTCAATAGTCAGTATACTCCTTGATCTCCGGACTTTTATCAGAGAAGCAGAATGAGATGTCAGGTCATTAATTTCTTGTGGTCCTGAAGAAGTCATGTAATTTTTCCATTATCTCAAAAAAAGTCACCCTTGAACTAAGTATGGATTTAGAACTAATACCTTCCGCCCAGCTGGTTGTATCTATGGGTCTGTATGGATGAGGAAAGATTGCCAGAATTACTGAAAGTCTTACAGTTAATCGCACAGTTCAAGTTTTGGTTTAGATTTTGAAAAAGATGATTCTTTTCAGTTTGAAATAAAAATAACTGGGCAGAAAATTCTCGTGAGGCTGGCCTGTGTGTTGAGGCCAGTTACCGTTATTGAAGAAGCTTAGCTTAGATCAGGGTTGCTGGGACATATTTTACCTGGTTTTACTGGATTTTGTCTATGTTTTGATGATTCGAAAAAATCATGAAAGTGAATCATGGATAGCAAGCTCCTGATAAGTTACTTGAGCACTTCTAACCAGTGTCAAGTCTGTTAAAGAAAGCCCAGGAACAATCTTGAGATTTTTGGCCCTTTCTAATTCATTATGTGGAGAGGAGATTCATTATGTGGGAGGAAGCTCATACCTTTTAGTTGTGTTAGCTAAAGATAGCTATTAAACGCTTCTGTGTAAGGTGGGACTAACCACTCTTCTGAATCAGCTGCTGGAAGAAGTGCAAGAATTCTTGTCGCCAGGGGAAGTCAAGGAGAACGCAGATTGTTCCGATTACCAAAAAGATGCCTCCCATGTGACTTGGCTGCTGGATCCCTATTATACCTGCAGAGAAGATGCAGGCATAAACTTTGTGATCTTTCTCCCAAACCTCATTTAGACAGCAGCCTACCTAGGAATCGCATGAGAAAGTTTTTGGGTTTTTTTTTCCTAAGTACTTAGGGAGCGATAAAGGTCAGTTTGTGTCTGCTGACTCAGGGAAGTATACTTAAACTGTTTCTAATCCTGTCGTGCAGTGCCATGGGCAAAACTTGCTTATGGACCTTCTTCCTGTGTGTCCAGCTTTCTTGGCAAAAAGCTGCGGCTTCTTTGCTGTATGCTGCAGAGTGAATAAATACGGGAAGTGTATTCACCCCATACTGTAGTCCCTTTCCTCCCTGTTGTTGCAGAGGTCCCTGTCCCAGGTGATACTAACAGAGGTTTTGCCACCTCCTCAAAATGCAAGAAGTAGCCAAAGATTTTTGGCATAGACTGAGACTTGTTCTGTCTTCTCATGTG